CTCATCATCTCTCTATATATAGGAAAATCTTGAAGCACATGAGCTATAAGCAAACATTTTTCTGAGAAGGATACAGAAGGGGCTTTTAATTTATATAGATAGATAAATATAGATATAGATTTATCTTAGAATTATTTTATTTAACTTTCTTTCTTTCTTTCTTTCTTTCTTTCTTTCTTTCTTTCTTTCTTTCTTTCTTTCCTTCCTTCCTTCCTTCCTTCCTTCCTTCCTTCCTTCCTTCCTTCGTTCCTTCTTTCTTTCTTTCTTTCTTTCTTTCTTTCTTCTTTCTTTCTTTCTTTCTTTCTTTTAATTGGACCAGAGAGGGACAGAGAGAGAGAGAGAGAGAGAGAGAGAGAGAAAGTGAGAAAGCAAGCCACCAGGTCTGGGACTCAAACCGCAGTTGGCCATGTGAGAGTACAGTGCCCTTAACCACCATGCCACCTGCTGGCCCCTCTATTTTTATATTTTTGATAATTGTTTAAATTTCTTACAATAAGCATAGATCACTTTTTCAGTTCAAAAAAGATACATTTTACATGAATTAAATGAAAAGATCTTAGTTATTTAAATATTTTATTTCCTGAAACAAGGAAACATCTCAGCCATTTTTTATATTGCATACGTATTTAAAATGTGTAAGACCAATCAGTTAACTGTCATTAAGAAAAATTCCAGTAAATTTGATCCTTTACATTTCTACTTAATGTTGCTACTTAGATAAGGCATAAGGGTTTGATTTACATGGTTGGTTTTTTCTTTTGTTCCAAATTTTCTATACTAAGAAATATTGCTTATAATAAAAAAGTATTTAAGGTAGACAAATTTTTATTACTTCAGTCTTCGCTTCAGAAAAATATGTTGTAGTTTTAAAGACCTTCTCCACAATATTTGTTATTATTTTGTTCCAAGTAGAAATGGAGTAGAAGCTATATAAAGTTATTTTGCGAGATGGCTGTTTTCCTAATGATATTATTCAGAATTGCTAAAAATGCACACAATAGATCTTGGGGACAATGTAAACTGCTGTAACACAGTTCTTTCAACCTCACATTTTTCTTTTCCAAAGTCACAGGCCTTTGACTCTTAAATATGCTCACAAGGGTGTGCTAACCTCCCTCCTTCCCCTCCCCACATTTCTTAATTGCATTTTTTAGATTGTGTAATTGTATTTGTCCTTTGTATACATAAATATACAAACTATTTTAGAATAAATTTCGTTTGGCAGCTGATTAATGTCATGCATTAAAATTGGATGTGGTGGTAAGAGGTCACGGGGTCTTGTAAATATACTTAGAAATTAGGAAATTACTTAGAGATCATGCCCTTTTGACTAAATTCACTGTTAACTTGAAAACAGCTCAACCTTCACCCTCTTCTACTCTTTTGCAAAGTGCTTTGAAGAACCTCGTGTAAGTGACTAAAATCTCAAAATTTAAGGTTTATTTTTCTTTAAAAATATAAACCAAGTGTTAGTATTTTTCAGACAATTACGAGCTAACATCTAAGGGCTTTGGTTATAGTTCTTCTGCTGCTGATTAGGTATTCCTCAGTGGTGATTAGTGAATGTACAAATGCAATCATTTAGTAGGGCTTAATCACTCATGTGATAGAGAAGTTAGTTACCCAGAAAGAAAAATCTGAGCACATGTAACTCCATTAGCCTTATTTTTTAACAGCAAAAAAGAAAACATTTTGACTAAATTAGAAATATTACATCATACAAGATAAATTATAGTTTAAATGAAATAGAGACTCTGAGAAAATATATTTATGAAAATGTATTGCTATAGTATGCATTATATTGTCTGTTGTATATGTAGCTTATGAATAATTGGTCCTGGTTTACCACACCAGGGCAAGCTTCCCTCAGAGAAATAATTAGGATTTGCTCCTTCTTTGTATTGCGTAAATGAACCCAGCAATTAAAGCAGATTTAAGTTGAGAATAAGACAGATAGATGGCAATACCATTTTTTACACAGTCAACCTGAAACAAGGGGAGTGGAATGCATGTATTTGGCCAATGCTGTATTCCCTCTGGTGGGAGGGGTTCTAAGGCCCAGATTCTGAGAGTGATGCCCGGGGAGTGAGTTTGAACAAGTTAAAATAATGAGATAGGAGACAGGGAGGTCTACACAGAGATGCCAACTGGCTGCTCATGCCAAGCATTGTAGAGAGCCATGCCTTTGTTAGGCTCAGGAGTTATTCTTCAAGTGTGTAGGTCAAAAGCTTAGTGACCTCACCAGACCACCAGTTTCTTGGGGATTATTGGATATTTGGAAAAGTCATGCCATAGTCTTTTTTTGTTTTATCTTTTATGCAAAAATGTATCATCACTTTTCCAATGACCTAATGTTTTATGTTAATCAAATTCACAATTGCTGATATGTAAGTCAAAATACTATACCTATACCAGCCTTCCAGCTCAGTTTTCTGTGACCAACCATCCCAGATTGCCCAGGATTGTACTGGTGTTAGCACTCAAAGTTTATCCAGAAAAATTCTTCATTCTTGGGGAAACCCCTCAGCCCTGAGGGATGAATGATCACCCTATTGCATTCTCTTGAGTTCTTAGCTGCAGCACGGAAGAGGGGGAAATGCATTCTCACTGCCCACTATTCCCTGTAGGGAAGATAGTAAACAGCCCTAAGCCCCTGCAGAACAGAACAACCCAGGATGCAATTTCAGGGAGGAAGTGTTGCTACTTCTCAAATGTGTCCAGATATTATTGTTCCGATTATTTTTTGCTGCATAACAAATGACTGCAGCTTTAGAGGCTTAAAACAATATCACGTTTTAAGGTGCTGGATCCCACATAACTGACTCTGGTTTGAGTTTTGGACCAAGCAGCTGAGCGTGTGCATGTGTGTGCCAAGATCCCAAGAGGAGAATGGAGAAGGGATTGTGGTGTGGCCAACCCCTCCTCCTCTCCTCCAGGGGGGGGATTTCTTACTTTTTCCCTGTATCTCTGGTGAGTGCACACACCCTGGAGCAAAAACCTTTCAAAATTTTTTAATTCACTTTTTTCTTTCTCCTGGTGTCAGTGAATCAAGGATTTGGGAAAGGATCCCCTGGCTCCCTCAGTAAGATAGTGGCTATAGCTGGAACAGCTGGGAACTGGTCAGCACCCCTGTTTCCATGTCATTTCCAGGGCTTCCCTCTGTATGGGCTAATTTTTCTCATGACATAGGGCTTCCAGGCATTTGGATATTTACTTGGCACTTCAGAGTGCAAGTATTAGAATCAACAAGTGAAAAGCTTTTGCCTCACACATCACATAGGATATTATGTATAGCATCATTTCCATCATAGTCACGTGGTTCAAGGACCAGAACATGTTATAGATCCCAATTCCAGTTGGTTGTAGGAAGACTGTGTTGGATGGAGAGATTATTGTAACTATCTTTGGAAAATATAATCTGCTACAACAATCTTGGCCCCAAAGGTTTGAAAAATACCATGTTTTAGGAATGAATTTTCATGGGACCAGCAGTTGGCGTAATGGCTATGTCGCTGGACTCCCACGTAGTCGACCGCGGTTCGCATCCCGGACCTGGTGGCTTAAAACTCACACCAGGCGCATGTGCGTGCATGCCCAAGATCCCGAGAGGAGAATGGAGGAGAAGGGATTGCGGTGTGGCCATCCCCCCGAGGGTGGGGGGGGGATTTCTCGATTTCTGTCTCTCTGTCTGTCTCTGTCTGTCTGTCTGGTGAGCGCACGTGCCCTATAGCAAAAAACCTCTCCAAAAAAAAAAAAAAAAGAAAAAGAATTTTCATGAAGCAATTTTCATTTTGAATGCAAACAAAAAGGTCAGCCTGTACCTGTTTCTTGATTTGTCCTGAAAACCCTTGGTCAGCATTGTTGTACTGGAGTAAGTCTCTCTTGCTCTTTTATATATATGTATGTATATGTGTGTGTATATATATAATATCATATATATCGTGTGTGTGTGTGTGTGTGTAAAATGCTCCTCATCCCTCAAAAAACTCAAGTGATCTAGATAGGTGAAGCAAAATATTATTTTCTACCGTAGTAAGAGTTTGGGGGTATGATGTGGCTTGTGTGTTTGTGTGCACATATATACCTTGGGGTGATGAAAAGAATGGAGTAATTGGGAATAGAGGTGGACAGTTACTGGCACTGGATTATTCAGGTTGAAAGGAGGCATACATGGCTGGAAAGGACACAGAAGACATTGATGACTGGAGAGGGAATTAAGACCTTGTTAATGGCAGCCAATTGGACGTGAAGGGCAGGTATACCTTTAACATCATTTTACCATGGTCATTTGGTTTAAACTGTGAATATCAATGTTCTAGCCTAGCTCTTTTAGACTGTCTCTTTCATGGTGGTGCTTAAGACTCATGAGTTACTCTTTCTGGTTGCCTCTGGCTTTTCATTCTGGGTAATGCAAATTGACCTATTTTTTAAAAAAAATATCCTGGGACCAGCAGATGGCATAATGGTTATGTTGTTGGACTCCCACATGGCCTACTACAGTTTGAGTTCCGAACCTGGAGGCTTGAAACTTACACCAGGCATATGTGCATGCATGTCCAAAATCCTGAGAGGAGAATGAAGGAGAAGGGATTGTGGTATGGCCTGCCTCCTTGGGGGGTGATTTCTCACTTTCTGTCTCTCTGTCCTCTGTCTCTCCGGCAAGCGTACATGCCCTATAACAAAAATCTCCCCCATCTCTCCACACAAAAATCCTGATGCCGTTATTTGGGCGGTTAGCTGACAGCACTATTTTGGCAAAGTTTCAGGAAAGCATGAAAATGGAAATCTTAATTTTTTAAACTGATATTTTATTGGCTCAGTCTATGTTTAATATTGCAACTTCAGTTTCATAGATCTTACATGAATTCTGTTGTTTTATCTTAATCTCATTATATTATTCTATTGAGAAAAAATTTCAAAAAAAAATACAGCAGGAAAAAAAATTTTATCATTCTTACCACCACTTCTTTAAAGAGACATTTTGTATGCTTATATTATAGGAATATTGTAATACAGTCCAGCTAGATTCTGGGATAGATTACCGGAAAAGAGATCTCCCTGCTGCAGGAAAACTCTACTACCTGTAAGTTTATTTTATTTTCATCTTTAATATCTAATGGCTTATCAGGAAAAGATGAAAAAAAATTAGGCAGTTTCACTATTAAAAAGTGAAAAACTAGTTCTGAAGCCCGTGATTTTAACTTATAAAACGTAGATAACAAAATGTAGAATGTTAACTTCTTTTCATCCTTATTTGCATCATTTATAATGTATGATTGGAGGAAACCCTAATTAGTTTTTTGGGGAAGAGTGATGACAGATGGTTAGAAAATAATGAGTATTCTCTTATAAGACACTGTAATATTATTTTTTATAAGCTAAAGTAATTAATTATTTGTGGACATCTTCTGACAAGTATGCCATTTTCATTCCTTCCAAATTATTGGTTTATTTTGTCAGACAATCTGTTTGTATTTATCATCGTTGACTGATTTCCATAGATAACTGATGTAAAATATATAGACACAAATATAACTGGATATACTTTTGTCTTTTAACAGCGAAGATTCTCTTTAGTAGGAGCAATTTATGATAATAGATGTATTCAGCATGTGCAGTTAATACTGAAAAACAAATATAGTTTGTTTTAAAATGGCATTTGTGAGAACCTGGAATGGAAAAGTGTTTTACAAAAGCAAACTGTTTAGTATATACCAACAGTATTTCGCACATAGTGGGTTCTCAGTAAATAGATCTGTATAAGGGCTAATTGTAATTTAACAAAAAGGCATGTTTCTGGTAATTTAAATTTTGATGACAACGTGCATATGAGAGGTTGAGGAAAGTTCTTGTCTCTGCCACCTTGTAAGCAGAAGTACTTTACTGTTTTTGAAGCAGAAATTAGCTAGAAAAATCACATAATTAAAATTGCATACTTTACAGTATACCAAGGGGACTATTTCAGTTTATTATTCAGATTCTGATGATTATTATAGGAGGTTCTTCATCTGCCCTTAAGTACTTTGTCTTTAAATTACTTATAATTTTAAAAAATTCTGATAGCACTTTTTTCTGCTATTACTTGGACTTTTTCTTCCCAGCTTCTTTTACATTTGTGTTTTTTGGTTATTTTAAGTTTTTGATATTCACAGCCTTTCTCTGATCCTTTGCCACCTATTTCTTGACATTCCAGATGTGTTGTACTTCTACTGGGTCGTTGGAAAAGTCATGACGTACTTTTCTACAATTTTCTAGGCAAAAATATCTCATGACTTTTCCAAGTACACAATAAATTAATAATTGTTCTCTTTATTCCTTTTCAAAGGAGTTATTCTGTTCTCTTTTCCTGCAACATGTATCCTTATGGAGAAGAATTAAAACATGGGTAGTTCCTTTAATAAGGATGGTAGATGAGGTCTAAATTGTGGAATTTGTTCACGGTGCCAAAGAGTCTTGGTGGAATTTGCTATAGGTGAAAAGGCTGATTTAGCTTAAAGCATAGCAGTTTTCTGTCTGACTTACCTGATGTTGTCCTCTCCTTTCTGATAAAAGTAATATAATTCTAACCTAATAGAATTCAGTTTTCATTTTAAAATATGTAGTAGAGGATACAGACTCAAATGGTGTTCTAGAGTCCAAGAAACTAGAATATACAGAGGAAATCTTGAAACTCTGGGATAGGTTTCTTAAAAATATATTTAAATTCAGTTCAGCCTGTAGCGTGGCTAACTGCACAGTTTGAGTCCCAGACCTGACAGTTTGAGTAGATACATGTACACCCGGAGTCTTGAAATGAAAGTAGAGAAGAAGGGATCACAGCATGGCTGTTTCCGACCGGTGTTGGGGGGGTGCACTTTCTCATTTTCTCTCTCTCTCTCTCCAGTGAGTGTGTGCATCTTCTGGAAAATTAATTTAAAGAAGAAAAAAGAAAATATATAAATTCATTACTTCCTCAAAGATGATAGATGTGTTCCAAAATTTAACATCTAAAGGGCTTGACCGTAGTTGGAAGACCAAGAATAAAGAGCTTGAGGGCACACCTCAGTCAGAGGATAAGGCAGATAAACATGTATCTCTGAGGAGAACTTGGAATTAAAAATCATCTCAAAAGTGGGAAAATAATATTTGATACCAAGACCTGATGTTAGGGGTATATATTTTATTATTTTATGTGGGTACTTGGGGAGAATTTCTTTCATGACAGAGTAGTAAAAGAAGATTTCCCAAGGTCATGTTAATTTTTCTGATTTAATTAGGTTTCCTTTTATCTTGCTCTTATAGGAAAACTTATTAATTTTCCTCTGTAACAGATTTTAATGTACCAGTCTATATATTTGCACTATTAAAATATGTGTTTCTCTTTACTACCCCCTGACCAAACATCTGGAATTGGTTCCTGAATATATTTAAGTCCAGACTACTCCCTTGTCAATTTTAGTAGAGCTCCAACTGCCTGTAAAGAAAATGAAACTCTAGCTTCCCTCCAGGGGAACACCAAGCACTATCTTAAAATTTCAAATAACTAGAACCCTATATGTACTTTTCAGTTAAATAGAAATATCTATTAACTCGGTACTTCATTAATTTAACTTTCCACAACCAATTAAACACATCCACTAATATCAAGAATTACCAGAGATTGGGAGCCAACAAGTGGCATGGTGCTTAAGACACTGAACTCCCACATGGCCGACCACAGTTGGAGAGCTAGACCTGGTGGCGTCTTTTCTTACTTTCTCTCTATGTATCTTTCTCTTGTGAGCACACATGCCCAATAGCAAACTTAAACATCATCATCATCATCATCATCAATAAAATACATACATAATTTTAAAAAAAGAATTACCAGAGATTTAAAAAGACGATTGAAAAAGTTGACATGGAACAATTTTTACAGTTCATAATATTATCTGGGTTCCACAAGATCTAATTTACACCAGACATTGAATGTTTATATGTAATCTATTTAAATTCAGAAATCTTAGGTTGCCTTTATAAGTAAGTTCTAAATTTTTTTGGCTCATCCCTCAAAGGTTTGAATCTCACACACAACAAAGTCAGAGATTAATTTTATCAAGTTACAAACCACAGAGAGTTTGAGTTAAAATACTGAAATTTTGCATGTATTGAAACACCTCATGATCATCCAGTTTCTCATTCTGTAATAACAACATGATTCTCCAGAGAGGAGCATAGTCTTAGTTTCTTTCTGGTGCTTGGTGGATAAGGTTCAGTGAGAGCCTCATGTATAGGATATGGTTAGCCAAAACCCAAACAGGTCAATCAAGCAGTAAGCTTCTTGTTTGCATCTGGGTGAAGGTCTGTACCAGTAATTTATTTTGAATCATGTGGTGTTTGTCAAGGATGTCCCTATCTTTTGCCTTCTAGAGAATTTAATTGCTTCCAATTAACTCCCTTCCTAGGGGCTTGTGGTAGTAGAGGTTATCATTTTATATGTCATATGAGCATGCCTTTCTAAACAGGAAATACTCCTGCTGAGGTGGTCCATGGCATGGTGTCCTAGACCACTTTTCTATTACTTTTGTGAAGGTTACTGGTTTTCAGGGAGGAGGAGTTCAGGTTATCTTTGACTCACTCTTGCTGTCTCTTTCGTTTTCATTCAGGAGCTGAGTAGTATAGGTATTTTGTTCTACTATGTCTATTGAATATGTTGGGTTTCCTATTCAAACACCATATCTCCACTGTACTCACAAATACCACATCCTTAGAACAGATGCCATGGCCTCGAAGGAAGATTTAAAACTGAACCAAAAGGGGTAGAGGCAGGCATTGGGGCCTGGGATTTTATTTTACCTTATTTTCCTTCTATTATATCACAGATGATGTCAGAAGACACAAGAGACCTGGGTCAGAGACAAAGGATTTTATTAGTCTTGGTACAGATAGTAAACATTAACACCATTGTGTTCCTTTCCCCCTAACTTCTTAGTCCCATGGGTTTGGAGGGGGGAGTTCTGTTGAGAACCCAGCGCAAGCAGTGAATTTTATCATAGAAGAGGAGCTCTTAGCTTGTGGAATCCACTATTTTATAGTTAGAAGTAAACACATCTGTTTTTTGTCTCATGGTAGACATTGTCTCATCTCTCAAAGTTGGTTGCTTCAAACACAGCCTTGAGAAATGGTTAGGGTCTTTCATTCTTGGGCATACTTAGCAAGATATATAGGGAAATGAAAGACTCATGAACTGTCTCCTAGCAGGGGGCATTTATCACTTAGATTTTAAGGAAACCAGGCTTGCTCCCTTCAGTTGGCTCCTGTTCTTGAAGTTATACTCAACGAAATTACATTAAAGCACTTTATTCAGTTATTTAATACTTCAGTTAACTTGTTTCAAGATCATTTCTATTTAACATATATGGAGATTATTACTTATCCTGAAAATGATGAAAAATATAATTTACAACTTTTTTTTTTTGGAGAGGTTTTTGCTATAGGGCATGTGCATGTGCCAGAAGGACAGAGAAAGAGGGACAGAAAGCGAGAAATCACCCCCCAGGGGGAATGGCCACACCACAATCCTTTCTCTTCCATTCTCCTCTCGGGATATTGGGCACACACACATGAGTGCCTAGCATGAGTTTAAGCCACTGGGTCCAGGACTCAAACGTGGTTGATCACATGGGAGTCTAGCGACATAGCCATTACGCCAACTGCTGGTCTCAATTTGCAACTTTTTAAACACCACTCAAACATTAACGTGTTTTTACTTGGGCTAATAGAGTAAATATATTCATCCATCTTCTGAATAGAGTTCAAAAGGAGTTTCTTCTTAAATAGATTTACCCATGGAAGTTTCATATCTCAAATACCCTTAGTTCTCCAATAGGGAGACATTCATTCTGAAAAGAAAATCATTTTGGAGAGTATATCTTTGAATACCATTTTTTAAAAAATAGAAATTAGCTGGGAAAAGTAAGCAGTTTCAAAGTTATAGTTCTGTTTTGTAAGAATGGTCTCTGAATCCCAAGACTAGAGTTCATACACATTAAAATATACTTATCCACAATTAAAAACTTCATGTTTCCTACCTATGATATTCCTTACAAGCACTTCATCCCCAAC